CGGGCCATACGAGCCCAGAAAGTGTCTGGGCTGCGGATGGACTCCTCATAGAGCTTCCGGTACTCGTCAAGGTCTTTCAGGTGGGTACCTGTCGGGTGCTTCTGGTGGAATGCTTCGGGGACATGGAAGGTGTCGACTTCGTGGGCCTCGACCACCTGAAACCGACGGAATTAGCACGGAGACCCGGCGATAACTCGGCCAAATACGCGCGATTTCTTACCACGGAGGACTTGGGGGGCATAACACTGCCGTCGGCCATGTTTTGTGTGTCCCAACAAAAATGTGTATTTGAGCTGTACTAATGTTAGAAAGGGATGAGACATTCCAATTGCAAGGTAACCCTCTTTCTGGAGGGCAAAAGGGCGAGGGGTTCAATTCGTGGCACCGGAGTGCACGTGAGTTTGCGGGCGGGGGATTAAGCTCACTTGTCAAAAGAATTGCAGCACTGCTGGTTGGTGGGGTTTAGGCAACGTTTCGCGCAAGGGGAGGAGGGTTTATTACAAAGGGAGAATTGTAGGAGGGAGAATAGAGGAGGGAGAGGGAGAGGAGTAGAGAGGAAAGATGCAAGATTTGGGAAAGAAAAAAAGAGGAAGAGAGGAGGGGGGAAAGAAAAGCAACTGGTGCCCAGGATGGGGAAGAGAGACAGTTATTTATTGAACCCAATGCCCGAACTAAAAAAGAGGGATGTCCCTTTCAGAGAGAGAGACAGTTTATGATTTTAATTGTTGAGAGAGTCCCGCTCCCCCGGTGTCCGGGTGGAGGCGCGCTGCTACTTCAGGCTTGGTTCAGGCTTGGTACCGTCGTAGCTTCATACTGGCCAAGGTTGTACTGCTCCCGGGCTGCTAAGGTACCTCCTCAATACTACTTACTACTTTTACTATCACCTACTACTCCGTACTTCCTCCCCTTAATCCATCCGTCCATCCTACTTACCCCAAGTCAACCTTCTTTCCCTTCCGCGCGACCGTAGGTATGATTAACCTTGTCGGGCCAGGGTTCAATCCTTACTTTTCTGGATCGGCTATGCAGATTAACCTAGATCTTGCCGGGTGTGAGTTCCAGAGCAGTATTACCCCTCCAATTGTTCCCCTTCCTCCATTAGATTGAGATCATGATGCCGTATGGAGGCGCTGGTCTACTTCCCACCATGGACGATACATACTACATACATACCTGACTAGTCATGCTTGTCGCTCTAAGCGCCTCTCCACTCTCGGGACAGCCACGACTACTGTAGCATAATAAAACAATAATAATAATAATAATTACTATAATAATTAACATAAATGAACGGGTTGCGAGGAGGGGGAGGGGGGGGAGAGGGTGGAAGGATTGTTCTGGATGCGGGTCATCGATAAACGGACTAGGGACAGTCTTTTCCCGGCAGGCCCTCGCAATGTCACTGGACAGACGACCTGCATTGGCGGCTGCAATCCCAGTCCGTTGCATTCGCTCGCACTATTCAAGACTAGTTCGGCGTAGTTCAAAACGCACCGCCAAAGGTTGGGCTCGGCCATGCGGGGCTTGACAGGCTCTCGTTTCCGTTGCTCCGGGGAAAGTAGTCGCTGATCAACTAGCGAACAATCATCTCGTTGTTCGCCTACCCCCCTCTACCTGGAGACTCCGACCTATTCACTTCGGTACACTATTGCGACGCTCCCGTCTGCGAGGTGTTGATTGTGACCTTAGTCTACTTCGGTTCTTGTCCATTATTGGACTGCAGACCAATCGTCAATTGCCAACTAAGGTAATGCTCCCAGCAGAGGCGACTGTTATTAACCTAGGTGGTCACCTCCGACAGCACTGTGCACATTCGTATCCATGGTACGCCATGGCACGAAATGGCACAGGGAGATATTAGCTCCGTGATCCTGTGGCGTTCATCCGACCAACATCATCATCATCATCAGCTCTGCCCCAGATTCGCTCACGCGCAGACGGGGGGTTGAAACTTTTGGGTTTCCGGGGGATGGCGGGATGGTATCACAAGAACACTCGCCAAGCACCCCCGATCGGAGGGGTCAATCAGCACTGGAACGTGTCCATTTTGGATGCGAGGCTTGAACCGTGCGGGGGAACCAAAAACTTAGCTGCGCTTTTTGAAGGGAACTGCTTATAGTAAGATTCAACGGGACCGTGGATGAGAGAAAAGAGAGTGAGCGGATCTACGGAGTAACTCTGGAGCAGTCAGATATCCAGAGAGCAATCTGAGGTGGTGAAGTAGATAGCAGTCAAGCTAATCAGCATTTAACTACACCTTCCACATGCACCTCCGCGATAGATCGCTGTGAGCATCCCCTGCATCGTTGTTTGAGGTATCAAGATACCTCGGTGGGTGATCCAATAAGACGCCTAGATCAATGGATGTGCTGCTGTTCGCGGAAGTTTCACTGAAACCGGATTAGGGACCCCCTGTATGGCCCACAGCCAGTGCCTGAAGGGCTGACCAGGAAGATGCAGTAGTTCGAGATACTAATTACGAGGGAGATAGGTAAATGGAAGGTCATCTTGCATTAGTGAGATATTGCCGGTGAACAGAACGTGGAAATAGATGGCCTTGCAGAGCCGAGGCCTGAATGGAATGGTCGTTCTCTAAAGGCACACCCGGTTGTCGCGATCACAAGCATTATCGATTATGTTGAGTAGCGGTTCAAGCCGAAAATTGTACTGGATAGTGATTGATGTTTGTTCATCTGCCATGTTGGTCAGTAGATATCAGTGTCTTAGGTAGTAGTATTGATTGATGTTCGTCAATGCACCTGACTTGGCTGTGTACATGATGATCAACGCATTGAAGGAAGGTGTATATTAGTGGTTCAGGGAATTAATTCATGTTTTTGATCCTTCTTCCATGTGCTCTGAAAGTAAGTAGCAATCTCCATTTAATCTTCCCCCAGTAATAATATCTGTAGAAAGGGAATAACTCCAGGTTACGGAACGTTACGGCAGTACTTTCCCTAACGAGGAAGAACTGACCCATTACGGCAATGAAGCTGCCCGTGACTTGCCCATCTCTCAACAATGCCGAAAAGGGGATTGTCTGCTATTTTCGCCCACTCGGTAAAGACAGATGATCAGCTGGGCTGGGACGAAACACTTTCCTCGACGCGCGGGTCGAGGGACAATCGGGATAACCGTGGTACTGCTCGCTGGGGGTTCGGCTATCGCTGCCTGGCTCATTGCTCCTTCTCCCCGTTCCCGCGGACTTCTCTCGGACCTAGGCTTTGGTTTCTCCAGCTTTCCTGGACGGAGAACTGGAAGCTCTGCATCTTGTCTCTTCGGACAGCCGAATATTCAGAATTCGAAGAAATAATGAACATAACATTGTCTGCGATGGCACATCATTCCAGGGGGGAGATCACCCCGCGACTGATGTCGCAACGAGCGCAGAGTCAAGACTCCCCTAAGAGAGCCTACAAACACCACCACCCCCACCACAACTAAGGACCGAAAGTACCACAGTTCCCTCAATTGTGGGGAGCTTTGTGGGTGTGGCCGCCTTGATTGGATGTGGATTAGACCACCGATCCGAGAGGAACGGTTTGTTCATGTTTATAATGCCATTACGGAGCAACTTCCACCATCAGAACTAGAAGCATTAATATAGTGGAGGCCATCCGGCAGAATTCCGTTCACCTTTTGCAGGCCTCGAATCTGCCCCTCCAACATGTCCACCTTCAAACATCGTTTCGGCAAGGGAACCATACCCTTGTGCCCATAAATATGGATACATCGTCCCTTTCGTCGCTTCTCTCCCGTGAGAAGATCTTCAATCCTTACTCCTTCGCGTCCGTGTGTGGTAATAAGGTGAGTGCGTTCGGGTCCCGGGTGTCCCGTTTAGTCCCTACCCACACTGCCGACTACAGAGCCCTCATGCTAATCGAGACCCTCTATCTGTTAGCAAATCAACGTCCTCAATTGTCGCTGGTGGCTCGGCCACTTCATTTATCCCAGCCTCTAGGGAGCCTCCCGATACGGTGTCAAGCCCACCATACCCCCCGTTTCCGCTTATCAATGTCAATCAGTTATCTCGGTAGCCCCCTGCACGGAGTGGCATCTCTACAAGATATTGCAGGTGTATAATCGCCTGCTTGGTTATTGCCTGGATACATACTGCATTCGAGATGTATAGCAGGTTACGTACCCCAACCGGTGGGAGTATGCGCCTTCTCTCAACACTCAGAAAGACCCATTCCCATCCTGCTTGAGCCCTATCTTTCTCAACCAGGACCCAGAGGCCGTGGCCTTTCCCGCCTGCGCTATAGTTTAGTCCCGGCCGCACTAAGCTTCTCGGTCCGCTTTTGCCATTTCGACGTCTGAGCCCGCCGCCAGACTTGAGTCTAATAGCCAACCGGTGTGGGCTCGGATGGTTAGAAACGGCGAATTTCTGGCCCGTCCTGCATCTACTAAACACGGCGGTAGGAAAAGTCCGTCCCAAACTCCCAATAGCCCCCTGCAAGTGCAAATTAATAACGTCTTGGCCCTGCCCGTTATTAATTTCCTAGTCCACCCGATGGATCAGTACGCGTTGTGCTGTGGCCAAGTTTGGTGGGACATTGGTAATCGCCGCGAGAAGTTTTCAACTTTTCACAGCTAATATCAACCTCGTTTCTGGGAGCCAGCGCACAGGCCAGTCGGAGTCCGAAGGAGAAATCAACCGGGCCAGAACTGAGTCGTTACGATAGTAAAGGGTCGGACTGGGCGACCAATATATCTCGCACGTAAGTGTACCCCCTAGATTGTACTTTTGGACTGTTACACCCAAGCACGTGGGAGCTGCGACTGCAACTGCATCCGCCTAGGATACTAGTCGATGGCAAAAGAACTACTCCAGCAAGCAACAAACTATCGAACGTTATGCCAGCAAATTCACATGCAAATGCAAGAAGTGCATAATGTATTCCTAAGCACAGCAGAAACATCCATGCCATAATAACCACAAAGAGAAAAGATAACCACAATCAAACCCAATCCCCAAGTCACTACGGACTACTCCCTATCTAATAAGCCATCCACTCCCGATGCCACCAATTCGCCATCCCAAACAAAAACAACACAATACTCCCATCCCTGGCAATATCCCTAACCAACTGCACCCACAACCCCAACCCCCCTCCCCCCCTCTTCATCATAACCCTCGCCCCCGTAAGCACCACCTCACCCGTCGTAAAGAACAAGAACGGATTCCTCGCCGTCGCCGGCGGCGGCGGCTGACTCCCAAACGTCGCCACCGACGACCCAATCAACACCAACAAATACACCCCAATCAGCATAGAAAACACCACATGCAGCACCTTCCACACCAGAATCTCCCGCTTTTCCTCATCACTCTTCTTCCGCGTCGCCTCCCCCAACATACTCGCCACAAACGGCGGGACTCCCAACCCCGTCAGTAAGTCCGCTGGCGACTGACCTCCAGGCAAAGACCCCTCGCCCAGCGCACTGGTATCCCCGGCCATCAAGCTCGAGAGAAGCTTAAGCGTCGGATCGTCCGCTTCTCCACCTAGTCCTCCCATCCCTCCTGCTCCTGCTCCTGCTCCTGCTTGAGGTCCCGGGCTCCCACTGGGTGACTCGCCCGGCTGGCCAGACTGGCGGAGCAGGGCGCGGAAGAGCTCCTGTTGCGCTTGGAGGGTTTCGGGGTCGAGTTCTTGCTGCTGCTGCTGGGGCCCTTGGCTTGGGAAAGAGGGTTGTGTAATTCGAGGTTCGGGGGCCGGGCTCGGGCTCGGGCTAGGAGTCAGTGCAGTAGTAGTAGCTTGTGGTTGTGCTGCTGCAGCCGGGGCCGGGGATGGAGATGGAGAGGGAGAGGTTTCTTCGCGGACTGTACATAGCAAATACAGAGTTAGCTTTACACACTATATTTCTTTCTTTCTTCCGCTTAAGACTCCATTCCTTAGGAGAGAAAAAAAATAATGTGCCACATACGACTAGCAGGAGTCCGACCACTCAAACTGGTAATCTTGTCTAGACGAGCTGCTCCATCGCCTTTGATTTTGGCTTCGCGACGTTCACGACGCAGGCGGGCTGCTCGTTGAGCGGGGGATTCTTCGGCTGAGGACATGATTTTCTTCCTTCCCTCGGTTTTTGTTCTTTTCTTTTTCTCTGTATATGTATATGAGGTTCACTCGTTGGTGGTTGTGGTGGTTTGGTTTCGTTGGTTGGTGTTTTGGGTGACGTAAGTTCGTTCAATCGGTGTGGGTGAATTGTTTAATGGGCCAGGGAAGGTGAATGTTTATCTACGAGATTGTAGATTGAAGATGTCGGTGGGAGCAGTTGGAGACCGCTCCAGGAAATAAGGTGAAGGTGGAGGTAGATTTTAATGAATTGAGCCACAGGTTGTTGCGGCGGCGGTGATCGCTGATTATCTGTGATGTGGTGGCCGCATGACGGTTGGCTCCCGCTGGTATATGGGGTCACGTGATTGTGGGTGTATAGCTTCGTGGTGTACGGTGTACTTGTTTGGGTGTTATTTGGCTATTTTGCTGTTTTAGTAGTTGTTAATATAAATTATGAGTTGTTGGTTGTATGAATTGAAATTTTGGCTCGTATAACGTATAGAATAAGTACCTGTGTTCAGTTCAAGATTGTTGTATTACTAGCTCAAATATATTCCTGGGGTAAGCATCATGATCATGCATAACGATGCTACTTTTGATCATCTCTGGCAGTGCCATGTAGTAACAGCGGTCATATTATTGTTTATTATGAGAAGATGTTGTGACCGCCAACTAATTTGGGTATATTCATATCTCTGACCACAGATCCCTCTGCCAATATATCATCAGTCACCAGCTTAACCCTGGAGTGTCGCTCTGCTAGTGGAAACATATGATAAATGTCAGTAGAGCTCGTCGTGATCCTGAAACGGCCAACCTCGCTTCACTTTTTCCAGCTCATCTGGACTGGCGCCGTCAGAGAATTCGGCCATCAAAGATTTGTTCCTTTTCACAGCAGCCTCATACCGCTGAGCAGGTAGCCACCCTTCTTCTGAGAGCCCACCGAGTTCGTCGCGCCACTTATTGATAAGTATATTCAGATTGTACCACGTTTGCTCACTTTCAGCCTGGTCGGTTACTTCTTGTTCGGAGAAATCTATGGGGCATTTGACATGGTGATCCTTGCCAATGAGATAAGACCAAAGGTTTTGCATTCGCATGAGGGCCCCACGTAGTGTAACAATATCTCCAGACCACTGACGACCTGCAGAGTCCACGAGGTGCTGACGTTGTAAAATGAGAGGATCTCGGAGCGCCTCAAGGTGTACCTTGTTCAAGCCCCCGTTGAAAACGCGATAGAGGTAGAAGAGACTTTGCCGTCGTATAAGCTCGTCGACTTGAGCTTGCTCATCGGGACTCATGGTCTCGTAGCCCGGAGGGTACTTTGGTGGTTTCAACTCGCTGGGGTGCTTTGGGTTAGGGTTCTCGAAGATCTTGGGATATCCGGCTGTAAGAAGCAACGGTGTGATGATTGTATGTTGCCAATCGATAATGGATCTCACTTTGAAGGTATCTGGACATATGAAGACATTGCTCGGGGTGAGATCTTCATTACCCATCAGCCAATCGGACTACATTATCGGGTGGATTGGGGATAGACGTACCAGGATGTCGCAAAGTGGGTTTGCTCAAATTATTTCCTTGCTCTTGTGGGAGGAGATATGGTGCTATTGTCATGTACTTCTTGAGGAGCTCAGGTAATCCTGTGGGAGCTTCACACCGGGAAATGCGATGTTGTGAGGAATGCCATTTTCAAGTGGCTTCCCGTATTTCTCGATCCATTTGACTTCCTTTTCGGCAATTGCACGTAGATAGTCCTTGGGGTCGGTCCCTGGAGAAGGATCAGTTCAGTTATCGCCCATTGAAGTACTTCGGACTGAAAGAAAACGTACACGGCCCTCGGTCCAGATCCAGCTTAGATCTTTGCCCATACCAAAACATGTAATCAGCCGTTGGTACGATGCAGTAGGTCTGGGAGTCTCCGGCTTCATCTGGTGTGCCCACTGCATATAGCGGAGCCCGCAGTTGGGGTGGAAGGTCACTTCTGAAATAAAGGCTTCCAATAGCCCCAAGTGGAATGCTGCAAAGCTTCTTCTCAATGTCAACGATGCCTGTCACCAAAGCATGCTTTTGATGTTTTGTATTATTGAAACAACGAGTATAGCACCGACACCTGCGACATGTTCTATGATAATGTACTCTACACCGACTGGATTGTCAGTGACCGAAGACCAGCCATACACTTCCGGGACTGGGATCTTCTTAGAGCGAAGAAATGCCAGACTTGCGACCTCGCTAGCTGTTGCGTAAGTCCTGGGCACTGATATCCAGTACGGGATCTTTATTATGGCTCGGAATCCATCTTCCATAGTGGCTAGTAGCACACGATTGAATCCTCCCTCACGAAGCGTGACAATGCTCTCAAGGCAGCCATGATCGACATGCTTCGCAACAGCCTTGGCGAGTGCAGAGATATCAAACCTCACATATCGTCATCGAAGCCGTGCCTGCTCGTAACCGATTCATCACTAACGACTGCAGAATCTTTGGGGGTAAGTTGTTAACTTTCTTGGGCTCGAGTACATGCAAGGTCGAAGAGACATCAACAATGTGGCCCAGTAGGACAAGGTGCGTCTTGGCCGCGATGGGAGAACAACGATTAATGCAGAAATATCAATGAACCTTATATAAACAAGGATTGGCGCTACAAGATGGACGTGGGCTGTTTGCTATTTCCAGGACTGAGGATGTATTTCCGATAATTGTTAATTACTGATTTGGGATCTCAGCAGTTGCCTGGGCAGTCATGTAATGGCGGAGATATCACATCCTCACTAAAACTGAATCCTGAAATGATATTTACAGAGTACAAAACGGTGAAGCGACATGATGAATAAAACAAAAGATCCTAAAATGTGGCTCAATCGAGTCGCAGGTGTGGTGTGCCTCAAATTTGTGGCTAGTAAGGCAGGCTAATCCCTTCCAACAAAATCACTACAACATGTGCCTCATGGGATGGCATGATCTGGTGGAAGATCGTTACTCACACTAGCACAAAGCCCTATGATTACTATTCTTATTGGGATCAGCATATGAATTACAGGGGGTTTTGAATTGACTTCTCTGATCGCCTTACAAGATGTTGGTATTATTGATGACATCATCCCTTTCCGCCTCGAACATCTGCCCATCATTCACTTTGAAGGGAAATTGCCTATGCATCAATCCTCAACAGCTATCCCCAATCAATATACCATTGAGACTGCAGCATTTCAATTTGTCAATGATGATTGCTACTAGTCAGCTATTACACAGTCAGCCTTATCGTTCGTTGTATCAACTCTAAAGTCCGCCATTCCCGTCATCCACGCCAAGCCCCGGATTTCCGCTGTGAATGACGGAAAACAAGAGGATGCAGCCAGCCAGTCCACTCAACAACCAGCCTCGACTTGTTGTAGATCCATCCGGTGGAGAATGTAAATAGACCGACATCAGATCCGGTCTGGATGTTCGGGATATCCCCCAGCCCTGTGCCAGCAAATGGTCGGACGCGTCCAAGCTCCATTGGCAGCGCCTCCTCCACAATGACGTAGTCCAGTCTGGCAGGGCCAACCTTGACTTTCGCTCTGACTTCACTTACTTGGCTGACATCGCATGAGAGAAGACTTACAACCAGATCTCCTTCCCTCTCATTTCCTCTGCTCTCATCCCATATCAACAGTGGTCCCGGCTTCACGGAGCTAGGGATGATAAACCACTCATCTTACTTCTGATATCCCCTGCGTACCTGATCAACCCATTACTATCAACCATGTCGCATGCTCAACCTGGGCGGGAGTCGCCCAAGACTCACCGCGTCGGGGAGCATTGGAGCGGAGCCAACCCTGTCCCGACCATCGACAAGTTCCTACAGCGTCTAGAGGTGGATAAACAAGAGCGCAAGGCCCATGAGGAAGCCCTGGCGGCCAAGCGGCGGGAGAAGGAGGAACAGGGAGAGGAAATGGCTCACAAGCCCCGGAAGACAACGGGAAAGACTCGCATGGTGACCGATCCCACGACCGGCAAGGATATTGAAGTGGAGGACCTCGACGAGGATTCCATGGAAGCAGTGAAGGATCCGAAGGTATCCATACCCCATTGACAAGGGTAGAGCATGCCACTGACCGATGATAATCATAGCTGGTTGTACCGAATGCTAATCTCGGAAAGCCAACGGTGAGTCTATAAATCTAATCATCTAAACACTGAACGTCAGCTAAGAAATCTCGTAGGACGTCAAAACCGAACCCAACCAAAGCCTTTCCCAGTATAAAGAAAACCAAGATATCACCGCACCCCCCGACCCAATCGCAGAAGGCACCACATCAGATGTTCCTATTCATGGCGAGAAAACCAACATTCTCTTCCATCCTACTCCGACAGTCACCTATAAACCCATGTTTGACAAGCTGGAGAGCCGTGGTATCGGCCTCTGCTTAGGAATTGTTGCTGCCATTGTCTTCACTGGTCGAATGTTTGGTGGCTCGCTCTGGGGCCTACTGCCTTTATCATTCGGTGTTGCAAGTGGTGTGTGGTTATGGATACAAGAACTCATTCGCAGCGGCCGGGAGATGGAATGGAGTAGTGAGCAAATCAGAGGCCAAATGGTAAGTTTCCGCTCCCCGTTAAGGTACTAAAACTTACATGTTACGCTATTAGGCTACTGCAAACCTCCTACCTGAGTCGGTCGAATGGATGAACTCTTTTCTCGGGGTCTTCTGGGGCCTCATCAACCCGGAGATGCTGACACCCGTTGCGGATACCATCGAAGACATCATGCAGGCGTCTGCGCCTGGTGTAGTGGAGAACGTTCGGATTGCGGAAATTGATCAGGGAAACAACCCTATCCGAATCTTGAGCTTGCGGTCTCTTCCGGACTCTCATGTCCAGCAACTCAAGGATCACATCCACGAGGAGAACGTGAAGAATAAAGACCCTCAGGAGGCGGCAGCTGCTGAGGAGGGCGGCAGCTACTACAACATCGAGGCCTCCTTTGCCTACCACGCGAAACCGAGCGGACAAACCACTTCGTCCAAGGCGCGCAACATGCACATGCAGATCGTTTTCTACCTGGGAATCAAAGGCCTCTTTGGCGTTCCATTCCCAGTCTTCGTGGAGTTGAACGAACTGGTAGGCACCGTCCGCGCCAGGTTCCAAATGATGCCCGAGGCCCCGTTCATGAAAGACGTGACGTTCAGTCTTGTTGGACTTCCCCATATTAAGGCCGGTTGTATGCCAATGGTCACCTGGGGTGTAAACATCCTGAATCTCCCCTTAATCTCCAACTTCGTCAACTATGCTATTGCTACGGCCAGCGGTCTGTTTGCAGCTCCTAAATCAATGACGATGGATCTTAGCATGATGCTCAAGGGTGACGATATCGTCAAAGAGACCCAGGCACTGGGCATCATGTGGATTCGGATCCATCGTGCAATTGGCTTGAGCAAACAGGACCGACGTGGAAGTTATGGCGGCGGCAGTGACCCTTACATCAACCTCTCTTTCTCCAAGTACGGCAAGCCCATGTACTGTACCCGAGTAATCACCGACGACCTCAACCCCGTCTGGGAAGAAACCGCGGCGTTGCTCGTAACGCCAGAGTTGATCAAGGCGGACGAAGCTTTGAGTGTCGAACTCTGGGACTCGGATCGGACCACCGCGGACGACATTGTCGGCAAAGTGGAATTGCCCATACGCAAAATGATCCAACACCCGGGCAAGATGTATGCTCAGGTTTCCAAGCTCCAGGGCCTAAACGAGGGCAGCGAAATGCCGGGAGAACTGCACTGGGAGGTCGGGTTTTTCGGCAAACCCAAGCTGAGAGCCGAGCTGAGGACCGACGGCAAGAAGAAGGATCTACCGGAGAACTTCAAGGACATTCCTGAGTTCCAAGACGAGAAGGGTGTCATCAGTACCGATCAAGAGGACGCCATTACCAAGACCCCACCAGATCCGCTATGGCCGAGTGGAATCATGAGCATTGTGGTCCATCAAATCGTGAATTTAGAGATCGAGAACGTCAAAGGCAGCCACGGTAATCGCAAGGGGAGAGACTATGAGCCAGCCAAACCGTATGGCGAGCAAAAAGAGGAGGTTGGAGAGAACTTGCCTACGAGCTACTGTAAAATCATTCTCAATGATGAGCTAGTAAGCTATCCCACACACCCCCTTTATATCTACAACTCGCCTAATATCTCGCAGATCTACCGTACTCGTGCAAAAGCCCTAAGCTCCAAGCCTATCTTCAACGCTGGAACTGAACGATTCGTCCGAGACTGGCGGTCCGCCTACGTTACCGTTAGCGTCCGCGACCAACGATATCGCCAGCACGATCCTATCCTCGGCGTGGTGCCATTGAAGATTTCGGAGCTCCTTGAGAACAGCTCACAGGTGACCAGATGGTACCCTCTCACTGGCGGCATCGGCTTTGGACGCATTCGCATATCTATTCTCTTCCGGCACGTTGAGACCCGTCTTCCCCCACAGATGCTCGGCTGGGATGTCGGCACCTTCCATTTCATTTCCGACAAGGTCACCGTAAAGGGCTTCAACCATCGCTGCAAGATTCGCCTCCGCACCGGCGGCAGCAGTGGCAAGATCACTCGTCATGTGTGCCATGTCGAAGGATCCAACATGACCTACGACCTCTCCAGCGAGGACTACCGACGCGCCATCCGTCTCCCCGTCAAGCACCGCTACCGATCGCCCGTCGTCTTCGAATTCCAACAACAAGGCCACCATCACACAACCGCCTATGCCGTCTACTGGCTCCAACACATGGCCGACAACGAAGACACCGCCATCGACATTCCCATCTGGGTCACCAAGAACGGCAAACGACTCACCCAAAACTACATCACCGAGCAGAACTGCCACATCAAACGAAGCCCTGGCCTCGAGGACCTGCACGAGGTTGGCCGCCTGCAATTCCACGGCTTTTTCAGTCCCGGTATCGACGACTCCCACGAACAATACGTCATCGACAACGAATCCCGCGAGACCTTTGAAACCTGGGAAGCCTGCATCGCCCAGGGTGTCCGCGAACGCCGCATCTCCTCCGACATCCCCGAGGACCTCGAAAGGCTGCATGAACAATCCCTCCTTGACGGCCGCGACATCCTCAAGCACGCCGAGCCCCGCGAACGCCGCCGCTGGATTGACAAGCAAGGCCAAGACTGGAGCGGCGCCTTCGGCCACGACCCAGGCGCCTACCTCAACAACCACGGCCACCAAGTCGCCGAACCGGGGCGCGAGACACCACCTCACGACCCCGTGAACCCCCCTCCCACCGTCGCCCAGTCCTACGGCACCATGCACGATGAAGAAGCCC